TGGTAGTCTTGAATTCTATCTCCTTGTGATAAACGTGGAGTTTGTTTCTTCAGTTCTTCAAAAATATTCTAGCTTTCTCTTGAATGATAGTCATACTAGTTACATCTCTTTTCATTTTCCTTTCTTTTATCCAAATTACAAGCCATCTCTCCATTTTTTCAAGGATGGCACATCTTTGTTTCTCAGATGTGATTTTCATTACTCCTTTAGTTGCTTGAGTCTTCTTGATTATATCTTTCTTAGCTAAGATTGTGACTACTGTAGACATGTTCAAGTCATACTGCCTAGTGTGGTGGTACACCAGTGTATTCTGTTATATTTTTGTATATATATATATATGTTTTTCTATTCTCCCTTCCTTCTTTGTTCTGTGTTCCTTTGTCTATACTTCTGGAACTTTCTTCCAACTGTGGGTGGTGGGTGACCTAGTTAGGGGACAATGAAAAGAAAGAGCCCAGAAGGTCACTTTTGATTTGGGTCTAGAAGAGGAAAGATGCATCTGAGAAAGGTCTCCAGGTTGGTGTTGCTCCACCTGAAAAAGGGTCACGATCAGATCTGAAGAAAGGAGATTGTTATTAAGGACATTGGTAGACTAAGGATCCCAGACATTTTTTCATCGATTTTCACAGACGGTCCGTCCCCGAAAGACATCCCAAGACAACGTCATCCAACCACTCCACATTGATCGCCAATTCAGGTACCCGCTCCTTCTAGAGAATATCTTTCTGTCTTTCTCATATTCTATCCCTTTTTTTCCTCTTATATTTTTAGAATAAGTAGATTTAAGTTAGATAATAAGAAAATTTTTGTATCGCGAGGGTTCTTGTTCTGCTGTGTATCGGAACAGGTGTATTTTTTTGGAATTAAGGAACCAGGAGGTTGGAATCTGTATGAACCTTTCTTGTATTAGTTACCACAAGAAAAATTAAAGCACGTTTCATTTGTTTTAATTCCTGTCTCTTTGTGAAAAACCACGTGCATAAGACCACACTAGCAACATCAGACATCTGCCCACTCTCTACCTTGGCTATTAAATTCTCACCTTTCAAAAATAAAAACCGATGCAAAACTTAATGAGTGCCCAACAGTCTTACAAAGACTATAAAAATTATTTATCAGAAAGGTAAACAAAAAGCTGGAATTACAAGAGAGAATTTCAAAGTTTGGAGGAATATTATCCAATCAGTATTGGGTTGAGCATTGATGTTAACATTTTCTGCGTTCCAAAAGGTTTCAAATTGTCATCTGGAAACAAGGGGAGACCAATTGGTATTCATTATTTTACATCACTTCTTGTGTTTGTCCTGTGAGGTATTTGTTGTCCAAACATAAAAATCTTTCATGAAATTATTCGTTGTCCAATTTTTTTGCAGTTCGAATTGTTCATTAACCAATCACCTGCTGTACTTAAATTTTGAATTTGGATATTATTTATAAAAACTCTGTTTATTCGAATACAGGAAATATCTGTTAACCAAATATAAATTATGTTAAACTATCACTGATAAAGTGATAAAAGACAACTGTCAGGTAATTAGTTCAAACTGCTAACTTCTGTGAATCAATCTTAAAATTTGTCAATTGAACTAATTTAATCCAATAGTTATTGATGATTTTAGTTTTTCATTTATAGAATAGGATCATCATAATCATGAGCAACTTTAAATCAGATAGTTCAGATGAAAATATTGTACAATAGATCTTCAAATATTAAAGCTAGAATTATTTTTGCCTTTTAACATCTGTAATATTTTATTGTATAATTCATATGCAATACTATTCCGAATAACATACAATACAGTATGTTATGTTTACTCTAATTCACATTTTTGCCCTGATTTGTATCATTTCAGATAACTGTTAAATTTATGATGATAAAAATGGAAAAGAAATTTTATAGTATAACAATTTTATTTTAAATAGGTATTTTACATAGTGTTCTATAGGAAAAATTTTTTTTGTTAATTTACAATGTTAGCTATATGCCACTACAAATTTTTTTACAAATTTTAATTAATTACAGCAAAACAATAGCTGTACCATAATACTCAATTGTAAGCAAGTTTATAGTCCAGTTATCTTTTAAAAAGTAATTTTAAATAAAATATATTTCCTCCAACTGGCTTCTGGAAAAATTGGATAGGCACATATCAGTGTTCTGAGAAGAACATTATAATAGCAAATCCAATTTTTCTTGTGTATCATTTGTGCATAATGTATACAAAGCAGAGTAATTATTAGCGATTTGATTAATAGCACTTTAAATAATTCTTAATAATTTATAAGTTAATTTCCCATTAAGTTAAAATACTTTAGGAGAATTACAAAAACTTTGGAGATCATAATTTTTTCAGGTATTAACTTTGTCCATGGTACTAAACTACTGTATGATATAGATATGCAAAAAGAAATATGCATTTGAATTGATATTTTATTGAAATATTAATTAAATCTTGGAGAAATTAGAAAGTACCATATTAAAACAAATATTTTGCAAAGTTTAAAAAAGAAATTACTAAAATAGAGACTTTATCTTTAATATTTTTTATGATGTTCAGAGATCAAAGTAACTTTAACATATGGTAAGTTGTTATAAAATTTAACAATTACTAAAGATAAAATTCATTCAAGCAAATGTTTTTCATATAACATGAATATTTATAGCATAAGATGATATGTTCCAACAGATGTTTTAAATCTATTTATTAATTGTATTATTGCTTTATGATACACTAAACATACAATTTCATAATCAGTACAATGACATTATCATCTTGTTTGTTTATTTTATTCCTTCAAAATAATTTAATGAAAACCATACTTATAGTTAAAGTAAATTATTATTATTTAAAAATAAACATGTTTTGTATTTCAGTAATTTTATTCTAATGTTAAATATTCCAGTTGTTAATTATTATTGAGAGAGAGAGTGAATAATTGTTAACAGACATTATACTAATTTGGAATAATAATCATTAACAGTAATAATTTAAAACTTGCTTTGTAACAACATTGCTGTTAAAAAATTATGCATTTTTACTATTAAAAAATTTATTAAAAGATATTACCATAGATGTATTAAAAGATTGATAGATATATTTAAAAATGTTACCATAAATGTAATTACCAATAAACAAAAAAAAAAAAAAAAAACAGGTACTATTTATCAGATGTACAGTACATTATTAAGAAACATTAACAAGTTTTATAAACTGCCTTATGCTAATATAAAATTACATAAAACAATAACTGTTTAAAAATATTAGAATTATAATAATTGAGTTTTTAAACAATCATTTAATTACAAATAAAAAAATTCTAAGCAAAAACAAAAGCAATGAATTATTTTGCTGTGTTTTATTGGATTCCATTCCCAAGTAATATTATCACTAGGGAATATATATTATCATGAAAGCTTTCTATAAATTAATCGTCATACATCCTGTACTCTCCAGGGAACCTAAAGATTGCAAGATTCTCAACTAGTTAAAGAATTATCTGAAATATGCAATAGATACATAAAAGACAGTTGACAACAAGAACAAATTTCCTGGCAAGTGTGAATAGAATTTATTGTCTGAATTGAATGTGAAAACCTCTTTTAGCTGATTTTCTAATTTTAAATATAACTGCTTGTTGAATAAGCATTGTTTTAAGTTCATTCATCCATCTTTATTCAAAGTTCATTCTATAAAAAATTCAACTACAAACATTTAGATATATTAAATGTATATAATTTTATACTTTCTTTTCTTCTATGATTCCTACTATTCATCTTTAATAAACATTTAAATAAGTCAAAAATAGAGTGCATTCAAATATAGTCTCAGTTTTATTTTTTAAAAGGAAAATGTATCACAAATAACATCATTATTATTAATTGTATCGCCACTTTAAAAATTTGACTTCTATTTTAAATACATTATTTAAAATGGATATTATCATCATTATTTATAATAATGATGATTGTTTTTTTTTTTTTTTAGAAAGAAGGAAAGAAGAGATATCCATTCTTTTATATTCATTCATCTCAAGGTCACTTTGTTTTGTAGATTCAGGTATAGGTATTTCGTTAACATTTAAATCCGAAATTAACTAATTAACTTTTAAATGAGAATGCAATATTTTTATAAATAACGATTTAGGTTTATTTTTACATCATCAAATTTATTAAATTACATTTTACACAACTGCTTGCACTTGTAAATGTAAAATTGAATAAGATAAAAAATGAAAGCAACAAAACTTACAATAATGTTAAAATAAAGATTTCAAACCAGGAAAATCAAGATAAATTACTATATATAAATAAAAAAAACAGACAAATTAGGAAACTTAATAATAAAATATAACACTTATATATATCTTCCCTAGAATTTAAAAAAATTAATAAAATATTTTAAAAACCTTTTTTAAAAAGGTAAAAAGGTTTTTTTTAATGTTATAGAATTGTATTAGATTATTAAATAAACATTAAATGAATTATTTAAGCATTTAACTTATGACACTACAATTTTAAGCATGTATAATTAGAGTAGCCGAAGTGGAACATCTATAGATAATAAATTAAGTTTATTATAGCATTTCATATATAATTCTTATAGCATTTATTTATCGAATAAACTGAAATTACACATCACAATTCTCCATCTTTTCTAAAATAAATCGATACGCACATTTTAAGAATTTAATCTAATTAAAGTGCATAAATGTTTAATCATTAAGACCTTCGTTCAAGCTCTTAGTTCACGTGATTAAAATAATATAAACTAATCAATTTCAAAAAGAAAAAACTAATCAATTTCATTTTTTTTAATATTAAGTTGGCATTTCTGTTATTTTAACGATTATAAACACACTGATAATTTAATTTAATCGCAATTTACTTCAATGATCCTAGTATATTAATTAATAGAGTAAATCTGATTAAGAAGGATCCACAAAAGAAACGAGATAACCCAAAGCAGACGACAAAATGTATTGAGGAGAAAACAGTTTACCTGGTCCGGATCGAAATCGAATACGATTCGGTCTTATTTACAGAGTAAATAGGCTTGTAATTTTCCTGTAAAACATGTTTAGTCGATTTAAACTGTCGAGAGTAATTAAACGAATATTTTCATTCGGAACTGACAGTCGACGATCAAAATGGCGACCTCGATCAACAGCAGATGCGGTGAGCATGCGCATTTGGAGTATCGAGGTTCCGTCTGTCGCGAAAATTCTATGAGCAACGACACCTGTCCGGATGTAGAGATCAGCCAAAATAAATATTTTGGATCCATTACGTAATTAATTTTAAAATAAGAATTATTTTATTTATTTTTTTTGCCTTTTTTTTAAAATAAATTTAATTTTTGATTTTAAAAATAAGCGAGAAAAATTATTATTATTATTATTATTATTAAGTATA